ATGTATGTACGTTGAACTTATTTCGCACCACACGTAGCAAACAGTGCTAATCGGAGGTGCGAAGTCTGTAGATGGCAAAGAGTAGCGGTGCTAACATTTAGCAGTGTAGTCGCGTGATGTACTTGCGTGTGAAAATAAGAGATGCCGTATGCGAGTGCTTCAGCCATAAAAAAACAAATCACAAATTGTATGACGACATATTCAAGACTCCCTTGACAAAGGGTCCGGGTAATTGAGAGTGTAGAGGTTAGTAACCCATGGGTGTCTAGCTACCAGATGTTCAAATCCTCCGCGCAGTGACAGAGCCGTACCACACGTGTGTGCTCTTACTGCACGTGCGTTCAATATAAAATGGGAATTTAAAAACGAGCCACAGTGCGACGGTGGCCATGCAACTAGGCCTCGGTAGGGTAAGGTAATTTACCCTTTTTACCGACATGCCAAGGGGTAAGGGTAAAGGGTAGGGTAAAGGTAGGCTCGTTGCTTTTATCCTTTTACCTTACCTGCTAAAGGGTAAAAGGTAGGGTAGAGTGATTGTATTGTGGTAAGGCAAAAGGTAGGGTAAAGGTAGGCTCGTTGTTTTGACACTTTCACCTTACCTTGCCGAGGCCTACATGCAACCCAAACTATCGATCGCATCGTAAGCAACTGTGGTCTGAGCTCTTTCAATGGAGGAGTAAAGCAATACAAACTCTCTCCTGAAGCCTGCTTGTGGCGAGCAGACCTCGACAATAGAATTGAGCTCCTGAACATATTGACATAAGCAAGAATGTAATTAAGCATGTACAGCGATATTCCTAATATCTGCCTTCTAATTATGTAGTACAGTATTTATATGATCCGTATCCATTTCAATCCATATACTCTTCCAATTATCATAAGCATGGATAAATCACTGGTCAACACACTTTTTCTGGCATAAGGTATTTCAACGGTTTTAAGGTAACTTTGGGGTGCTGATTCCAAATCTGGCATCAATTTTTGTCTATCACATCAGGTTTTTGAGATATCAAATATTGCATTTTCAATAAAAATTGCAGAAGAAAAATATGAAATAAATGTGGATATCTACATAAAATTATATTATAAACACACTATCTTAAAAATACAGCACCATATTTTAACACTAAAGCAGTCACTGACTCGCAACAACTTGCAATCATAAGTGACAGAATTAATTTCGGGTAAAATCAATGAAAATGGGGTATGCCGAAAGCATAAAAATGAGATGTGATAGAGCAAATCTGAGATGAGATTTGGAATCAGCACCCTGACATTAGTCTAAAACAGCTGCAAAAGTCCAGGCCAGAATTTTTTTTTTTTGTTGATCAGTGTAATCTACTTTATCAACCCCCGCATTAGCACATATATGACGATTTATATTGAGATTTCAAAATGAATGTTCTTTATTTAGCTAAGTAAATTCCCAAGAATTTACCATTTCAGTTGTCATAAATATGTACATATTCGAAGAGGGTACATGCTGTGGAAATTCCACATTCCTGGTCAAACTCGCCATATGTTGACCACTTTCATGAGCCCACAATGATGGGATGAATTGACCTCTGACCAGAAATTGAACCAGTAGCGCTCCGATTGTGAGTCAGCAGCTCAGCGAGTGCCACATGTAGGCATTTACGTGTTTTTACAGAATGATCCGCGCCAGGTGAGTCGCAGCGTTTATGTCCGCGGTGGGACGAAGTCGCCAAAAATAAATGATTAAATTGCGATTTTGACTTCCGTTTATTCGGGACCCCGGGTTCCTGCCATGAGGTTCAAATGCTGCATTAACCACAGCTGGTCGTCACCCCCACCCTCCCCCCCCATGGTCCTGCTATCTAACAATCCACCCAGCACTTGAACATGAACCAATCTCCTCGCTCCATACCATGGTGGATAAATTTGGCTATAGATAGCAATACAAATATATATCACGCGTAATAAAATAAACAAGACAATTCTAACCACTTTTATACATTTGTTTATTCATATTGATGCAGCGTAAAAAAAGTTCAATGCATGAAACAAACGAAAGCTTTCATTTAAGACATCGTACTTGGAGACCAACTTCAATCGGTCGTACGAATTCAACAGATCAACTGTTCACAAAATACAAAACACCGTGTAATATATATATTTTTTTCCAAACAACTCTCTGTAAGTGAAATAATACGGAGCCATATTGGTTGTTATACTTGCACAATAAAGCAATGCCACAGGTCACCAAGATATCCACGTGCGTTTTTTGTTATCGATGCAAGAAGAATTCCTCTGTGGTCAGCGCATTTCGCTGTGAAGCCAGCAACCCGAATTCGATTCCCGGCCACGGCTAACACCAGCAGCGAGTAATATTTGAATCGGCGCTTAACCACCCCTTCACCCAATCTGCACTGAGCAGCGATGTATGGACAAAAAAACCCACATTAATGAACACGCCAAAGCAGGGGGTGGGGGGGGGGGGGTCTTAATCCATGATAAATTCATTTTGTTTAACAATTGAAGAATTTCATATTTTTTATACGGTTATAATACGTGCATGAACCATTACTTATAACACGCGATATTGTATATGTTCTCTTCATAAATAGATAATTAATTGCATGTATGGTGGAAGTAAGCATGTATTTTCATCGATGTAATGGTTTTATCACTGTGATTAATTCCACTATTGGGTGGGTGAATTGTTATACCTCCTATGCATTAGTTTGTTTCCAAAAAATTGTACGAAGTATTTTCATTGCACTCCATCACACATTATTTCGTGCAAAAGCTATTATTTGTAAAGGTATGTTTTTATATACTTGACAACAAAATTCAACATTGCTAAATGTAGTTAACATTAATGCAATGTCCTCAAGACATAACTATGTTTAAGAAGAAAAAAAAGTTCAAACAGAGTTATAGGTGGGCCACTGTGCCACCGTATTCCATGACCTTGCTGTGAAATTATAGATTTTTTCCTGCACCTCGGCCATGAATTTTACAAACAATGACCGTGACAAAATCATAGCCTTCCCCATCGGTGATCCATGGCCTTCAACTGACAACACAGTGAACATGAACCATGTCATGTGCCATCGTGTTGAAGTTGCTGTGGATAAGCGTTGGCCTTCTTACCGCTGCAGCCAAACTCACAGATGTCAGCGTGACTCTACCATGTGCGAAGTTCGTCCTTGTCAACCTTTAAAATCTACTCGAGCACGATTGAATTGGACGTTTTAAGCAATACAGGGCAACACGGGACCAAAAACCCCATACTACGTTGTGTGATGATACCATCACACAATATGGGATGATACCATCATGCCTTTTTTGTGGGGGATATTACAGTCTTGACATTCAGAGCATTCGCTGCATAGACCAGATCGGCAATCTCGTATATCATCTGCAATGACAACACATGCCACGTGTTTACCTCTGCAACGGACCATGGTTGATGGAAGCACGGCTTTTGTAAAATAAAATAATAAATGCAATGCAAATCTTGATTTGTAATTGAATCCGTACCAGTGACACACACACACATGCAGCTTAACATCGGTTTTGAATGTTACCCATTCATTATATGTATAGGTTTTATAAAATCAGTAGGGAATGATATCTAAACCGGTGTCACCCCCCCAACTTCCATCAATCCACTACAAAATGACTTTCAAACGGGTAAACATCAGCGTGGTGAAGTATGGTGAAACGATTGCTGTATCCCATCATGGCACAACGAGACCATCATCCAGCAGTGGATCTGACAAAGCTGAAGTAAATGTAGCTTTTAATGTTTCCGAAATTGACAACAAAATGCAACATTGCTAAATGCAGTTAACATTAATGCAATGTCCTACCTTAAAATAGAAATAAAAACAAATAATATACGAGTCAAAAAGGTCATATTAGTTACGGTCCAGTATAGGAATAACACGAAACGATTCATGAAAACGTTTCCAATGTATTTTGACTTCAAAGAGTATTTTTTTACATTGCAGAACAGAATGTGTATTGTGAAGAATGCGTTTTGTAGAGGATGGATGTAAACATGAATGTGAAAATGTGATCTATGCGGGGAGCTACCCACCCCCTCAACGTATGTACAGGAGGGCAACCAATATGCATGCCGTCATCCATGGGTCCATGTGACTCTTCTAAACGGGACCACATCGCTACTTTCCTGTATTAAATATATATATATATAAAGCGTATAACGACAGCTCCCCCGAAAAACACCATAAATGTAATCGATTATCATGATTGGTGGACAAGATCCGATTCAATGATTATTGATTTGTATTTCCATTGTGGTGAATGCAGCACCACCATTGGCTGCATGGGTCGCATAACGGCCAGTGTGCTAACCGGTACACCAATGCAGCCCTGTAATTTTATAAGGGTGTGCTCATTTCATTGTTAAACGATACTTAAAATTAATTTGTAGATTTGATTCAGATTTGGTTTGGGGGTTTTATTTCCTTCTGTATGTAATGAAGTTGAATAATTTCAACGGAAAATATAAACAAAACACGTGTCAAAAACTAACACTGACAAAGCATTGCAACGTATATTAAAATGTACATATAATAATACAAAGTGTTATTGCAAACAGATAACATGTTGATGAAGAGATTAATTCAGCAACAGTATTGCCAAGATTTTTGAGCGATTACATATTGCATTGAAATTAATACTCATTGTATTCGTGTACAATCATTAAATATTTGCTTTAGAAATACCCCAATATATTGAAGCACTTAAAATAATATATTTATTGCAACTCTCTATGTACAAGAATTTACCGCCATTTAAAAATGACACTGCATTGAGTTAACATGTTTCACAACCCTCAGAGCATTGCAGCTGAGAGAGCAAATTGTTATGACATCTGTGATGGCAGCCTAAGCCTCGCTCTACGACTTAGCTAATAATTGTGTCCAAAGAAAATGAATGTCTCTGAGCTTGAAAAACAAACAACTTATAGAACTGGCCACTGGCCCCTTCAAATTTTTTGAAAGATTTAAAACTGTCAATTTGAGCGAAAGCCTGTAAGTGAAAACTATTGCAAATGGAACTACGCAATAATTGTAACTATTGTTCCACACTTAAACAAACATTAAATACATTTAAATATATACTTTTAAACAGCTGATTGCGTTGGGTAAATAATGCCAGGACAGCGTAGCTCTCAGTCAAGTAAACTTAACTGCACATACGATTCATTCTTATATATATATCAAAAACAAATCCCCGTTTTTTTTCTTCAAATAAGCTTAAGTAAATTAGTGTAGCGGTTGGTGCTGTGTGCTTCACAGACTGCCCAAAGCTCTGCTTCTCGTTAAGAATACATTGACACTGGGGAGCATGCAGCCTCCGTTTAAGCATTGATGTCATCAGCGTCGTAACAATTCAGCCAAATATAACAAACAAAGGCAGTGGGCTGGGGGCAGCATGGGCGGTGGCCAGCACTCGGAGTTTCACACACACACACAGGTCTACTTTTGAGAATGATTATCATACGGGAGAACTCGTCTCATTCACGGTGATGTGGAGGGCCAATATCGGCGGATCCTATAATTCACGGGATTATCTGCAATATAGAAAACTAATTTATGGAAACCCCTTGCGGATAATCGGTGAATTATTAGCCGCTAGACCCTTATCTGTGAAAAATCGCGAGTAATAGGAAGTCGCTTTGCTATGCATGGCAGGCAAAATTGTGGATAACCACGGATAGTAGGAAGAAATAGGGGCATTGATAATAGGATTATTGCGGAGCCTGCAACCACCGCAAGATAATGAGTTGCAACTAATAGGGTCGAGGATAAGAGGATTTCTTCTGTACTATATCCATCAATCTGCTTATAACCCGAGAAATAAAATTAGTACAAAAATGACCAATAGACCAAAAATCTCGCCCAAAAAAATCCACTTTCCATAAACATTATATTTGATCCCAAACGCCTGCTGGCTTAGCAAAAGGTACATTTTACACACTTTTAAAAGTGCAATGTGAATGATGACCAAACGTTTGAAATTCTATAGCAGACGTGAACTAGTAACCAAAAAATAACACTTTTTATTTTACACATTAATACCCTGTGTTATTATAATAATAATTACGTAATCACTAACTGCAGCCACATGGTCACAAGTTGCCCTGGAAGTGGCTTCGTCACTGATGTTCGTCTGGTGAGCACGCGTTGTTATTTCAGTGACGGCCGTCAGCAAAAGTACCACTTAAACATAACTTGGCCGCAAATTGTATCGCCGGTCTACGCAAACAATCCGTGAGTTGTCTTTTTCGAAAATTACTGAGGGCATTTTTTCGTGTGAATATTTTTCCGTAAGATGTTATCTTTTGGCGTTTTTTGGAGTAGTTGCCAGGGTTCGCTCATGGTAGACACTCGAGATTAGTTTCAGATTTCATTTTTTTTAGACATTTTCAGATTTCTTTGGCCCATATTCGGATTCTACTTAGATTCACTGTAATTAGCTTAATATGTTTCATAATTACCACTAAATTTTACCCTTTTTAATCGTTGTAAACATTAATAATTGAATGCACAATTTTAACGTAGTCCCGTCAATGAAGAAATAATTTATATGTAAACACTACTTTAATAATTTAAACAAAAAGCGACGTCACGCATCGTCAAAATGACATCGCATGAGGGCACTTTTGTGGGGCTAAGCGCGGAATCGACGCCACTCCCTGCTGCATCATCATCTCACCTTCGGATCAATCCGCAACAAAAAACATCTGAACCATCCCAAAAAATGTTCACACCCAAGGCCCGATTTTTCGTTCGTAACTTTTTCCCCCCTCTCCAGATTCATCCTAAAACTCGGCAACGCATCCCTCTCGGAGACGGATACCGCACGCACGACCCATCGCCACGACGCGCCACGGCCGCCCCGTCAGACGGCGTAGTAGACCTGCCACGCCTCAATGTACTTGTGGAAGATGGTGGTGAGCCGCGCGTCGTTGAGATTCACCAAGGACTCGACGTATCTGCTCGATTCGTGCGAGCTCGCCGACGCGCCCAGCACCTCGCTGAGCAGATCCGTAGAGTCGGCGCCCAGGTGCAGGAGCTCCTCCACCACCACGGCGTTCAGTGCCTCCTTCTGGGCCTGCAGCTTGGACTCGAGCTCCTGCAGGGACGTGGCCGCGTCGCCGAACGCCTGGCCCAGTGTGCCCAGCTCGCTGCGCAGGTACTTGCTGTAGCTCTCCGCGCCGTCCGTGTCGTGCTGGATGACCTGCGACCCCCCGGGGAGACGGGCGGAGGGGGGAGAGAGACGGGGCAACAGCAGCAGCACCTCTGATGAGCACGGTTGGCCACGTACGGTGCGAAAGAAGTTCAAGGAACATACCTTTTTGGTCGGGGGCATCCCCCCCCCCCAAACAAGACCCCCCCCCCTCATCCTAGAGAGAGCGGACCCCCCCCCCGTCCTTACCCCCCACGGCGTCTCGACAACGCGCTGTTCGTGAGGTATTCGTTTCATTTCATGCGTCAGTGTTTTTGTGAACAAGGCATTGCTTTAATGCAGCGTATTCGTTTGTTTTGTTCCCGAAACATGGCCCTTTAATTTTCCCACGCAAATTAGAATGTTTTTTTCCTGCACTGTATCCACGCAGAAGCCTGTGCCCACCTGCCACCTGCTCATACCACTGCCAGTGAAAGGCCCTCCACTAAGAAGGATCTTTAGAGAGAGACTCCATTCAGAGGGCACTTGGCCTACTTTTCCATGCTGGCCAGACGTCTCGGGAGAGATGGGATTACCCACACTTTACTCCACCACACGCGACCTTCGAATCTGCTAAGGCATGTGTGCTGCCGGGTGGACAGAGTTGTGGATATTTAAGAAACGTGCACCGTTGTTTCGACTGCCGCGCCGGGAGATCTAACCGACAACCTTCGGATTAGGAATCCGACGTGACAACCATTACACGACAGCAGCATCTCAAGATAGAATGTAGGGTACGAACAACCCACCCAAGCCCTGCTCGAATGAGCAGTGTGGCTGTGCACATCTTTATTGGCAATCGTGACCAAGAGTTTCCACGGCAAAGACCATGAGGCAACCAATGAACCAATGTTAACTACTCACAAAGTGGTACTGATTTTGTGGACCCCAGAAGGATGATTAGCCGAGTACAGTCAGTACACCCCACGAGTCATCAGTGGCCAAGACTGCCGTGCGTATTGAGCCAGAGGGCCGCCGTCCACGCGGACGTCCGAAGAAGCGATGGATGGACCGAATAAAGGAAGACATGAAGACGGTCAACGCATCCCCTGAAGATGCCCTGGACCGAGCCAAATGGAGAAGACAATGCCGAAAAGCGGACCCTGCGCCACAGCGGGAACAACGCTAGGAAGAAGAAGTCAGTACACCCCACCCCCTCGCCACTGGGAGTTAATCTCGGAACCTGCCGGTGGGAAGATGAGTACTCTCAAACCACCCAGCCAGATAGCTTTCTTAAAATTATTATTTATTTCCCATCAATGCCGCGTCGCGTCAAGAAGCCCATATTGTCATAACTTCTTTACAAATGTCATCATGAACGCTACGTAAATCAGTCTAAAGTGTGGGACATAATACTTCTCCTGAACAAGAGAGTTGATTGTTTAAAAAGATATTGGCCAAACATCTTAAATAAGGTCTCTATTTGAAAAAGTATTTGAACTCAACACCGCAGTGTGACTGTTGGTAGAGCGATTAACTCACAATCGGAAGGAGTTAAAATCCTGCTCAGAGTTTGGCTCAGAACATCATCCAACTGGGATCAGTAACATGAGCACGATGTTGTAGGAACTCAGAAGTGTATGTCCAATTGAGACTGGCTTGGGATCCTAATGAGGAGAAGCACCACCCCACTTTCACTTTTTGCCAATATAAATTATTCCAAATGTCAATATTCATTATTTTCTCTCTATGCTCTTAAAACCCCGATTGCCTGAAAATGTGTTCGCTTTTTTTTTTCATTAAGGCATTATTGGGCAGCGAGGTGGCATCGTGGTAGCACTTGAGTCTCACAGGAAGAAAGGCCTGGATTCGATTGCTGACTTTCTGTGCAGAGTTTTATGTTCTCCCCCTGTTCTGCATGGATTTACTCCAGGGTTTCCGGTTTCCTCCCATCGCTAAAACAACACGTACTACGCCAGTGCTATTGGCCAAACATCCCAATGCTGAAAAATTACCTGCAAATTTCTCATTCGGGATTACACACACAGCAGTAAATATCGCCCGCTACGGTGAAAACGTGACAGGACCCTCCTGAAAAAGAGCCTTGAGACTCAGTGAGGATTAATGCATAATAATACGTAATATATATACACATCTTTCAATTACAAACGTGGAAAACAATATTCATCCCGAATATATGGGCATCAGGCAAGTCCTTTACAATAGCCCAATTGTCTGCCGTCCCAATAAAATATTAGCAAGAAGTAATTTACACATTTTAAACACATCCTTTGTCAGATACCGTATATCTAAAACAACGTTTAAACAGCTTAGAGCGTCGTCATACACTTTATGCACACCAGAAGGACATTTAAGAGTTTCGATATGGAAGCACAGTATTGCATCATTTTTGAAAGTCAAGGATTTTGTGTAAAGCTCGGAATGATTTTTTTTTGCGTGAATTACGTCTGTTGAAATTTCCATAACTCAAACGTTTTCTCTTGGAAAAAGCTCCACATGTGGTCACACAGCCAGAAGACGTGAAGCAAAGGGTGATTGGGTTAAAGGGCCCTCTGTCTGCATGTGCCGTAATACACCATTAAATCAAGGGCATAATTCTACTTTTCACACCAAGCATTTGGTCATGTGCCTAAATGCCAGGTACTGTGTGTGTATATAACTCTAGAAAGTTATTTTGCATATTCCCACGTCGAGGAGCTGTTAGAAAAAAAAAAACCTTTTCAAACAAATTATACAGTGTAGTGCATGCTTTATATGTCGTACCTATTAGTTTTGTATGACATATATCAGAATTGTACGATCAACATCCAAAAGGAATGTTACGATGCATCAATGTATCGATTCATGCAAATCTGTTTGCTCGCAATATGTGCATCGTATCGAGTGTGTAAGAATGTGGGTTTTTTGTATTTGCTTGGAATGGTTTCACAAGACCTCTCAAGCCGCTCGAGGCCACATATTAAATAAAAAAATATTAATAATCACAACCCTGATTTACAACGAGTCGTTGAATCACCCAGGGGGGCGGGGGGGGGGGCAAAATGTCTGAGCACATCGTTTTCTCTTTGTTCCATGAAGAAGGGCCGTTGCCTGTTGTACAGGGCAGCCAAAGAGTCAGGACAAACGTGGTTATCTATATATATAAAATCGTGCATGTCTGTCTGTGTGTGTGTGTGTGGATTTCGGACCATACGCACTTTCATTGGACGGCGGTTGCCCCTGGCAACGGCTAGCGACGCCTTCGCCGCTTTCATTGGACCTGGCAACGGCTAGCGACGCCTTCGCCAAGGGCTGCAGTTTCATTGGACGGCGGTTGCCCCTGCCAACGGCTAGCCACGCCTTCGCCACTTTCATAGGCTCCGTAAATAATTAAATAATAGCCATTACACAGTATTGTTCGAGCGCTGAGGTGGGGGGGAAGGCACGCCACCCGTACCCTGCCTCTGCCGGCTGGACAATTTTGGCGAGGCCGCAGGCTCTGCACGCTACTAGGCCTCGACACCCACCACGCCACTCTGAGGTAAATTCATCAAAGTTTTTCCAACTCTTCACTCCACCCCCACCACAATGTGTGCAATTTATATTACTTTTAAACCCAACGCGCCAACAATCGATTACTTAAATGTTCACTGTACAAATAGTCATTAAGCTGGGTCAGCGTACTGCCAGTCTATCATGTAGACTGTAGCCTGCTTATTAAACTCGGTGAGCGTACTGCCACTCTATCATGTACACTCTAGCCTGCTTATGAAGCTGAGTGCGTGTACTGCCAGTATATAATGTGGACTGTAGCCTGGTTATTATAATCGATTCTTTATATGTTCTTTGTACAAATAGTCATTAAGCTGGTTGAGCGACCCCAGTTCCATTCCAACTCACGCCCACCACCGCTGACGATTATTTGAAACGGACCTGGGCCTCCCCTAGGTCGACTCAGCCTCAAACGCGTAACTGCTGTCGTGTGTGAACATCGTCACTGGGGAGACAAAGGCGGCCGGCCATCGTGGATCCAAGTCCCGGGCGAAGCCGGGTCATGTGTATGTGTGTATGTGTTTATGTGTATGTCTGTGTGTCTCTATGTATGTGTGTATGTATGTGTGTGTATGTGTTTGTGTGTATGTGTGTGTGTATGTATGTCGGTTTTTTTGTATGTCTTTATGTGTATGTCTGCGTGTCTGTATGTATGTGTGTATGTACGTGTGTGCATGTGTTTGTGTGCATGTATGTGTGTGTGTATGTATGTGTGTATGTGTTTCTGTGTATGTATGCGTGTGTATGTATGTGTGTTATGTGTGTGTCTGTGTGTCTGCATGTATGTGTGTGTGTATTGTGTATGTGTTTGTGTGTATGTATGTGTGTGTTTGTGTGTATGTGTTTGTTTCTGTGTATGTATGTGTGTATGTATGTGTGTGTATGTGGTTTAGTGGTAATGAATTGAAGGTGGAGGGGTTACCAGCCCCTCACACCCGTCCAGAGCCCCCGTTTAGCCACTGTGGTGGTCACAGACGCCATGAGGGGAGAGGCCAATGGGCATTGGCCCTCCCCCCACAGCACTGCCCACGACAGTGTTGCCCGTCCGGCACCGCGAGGAGGTAGGAGGTTGTTTTGCCGGACGGCATCGGCGCATCCACACAACATCATGGATACATGCCGGGTCCAAGCAAGAACATCTGCTGGACTACATAGTGACGGACCAGCGGATGCGAACCCATGTCCTTGACACCAGGACCTACCGTGGAGCTGATCTGTCCTCTGACCATCGACTAGTCATCTGTAAGATGCGCCTGCCTTTCTTCCACTCCGGTGGTGGGTGTACACCCAGGATCCCATTCCAACCAAAAGTGGCCTGGTCTCAGTTAGCTGATGAAAGTTGCAAGCGAGAATTTCATCATCGCTTGCAGCTGGGGTTGGCATCGTCCCCCACTCCACCTGATGTCGAGGGTAAATGGGCGAGGTTTAGGACTGTGACTCATGCAGCTGCAATGGCTGCTTTGGGTACGCGGTCCAGACCTCCCCAGAAACCCTGGCTGACAGAGGAGGTGTTCAGGTTA